GCAATCTTTTGAACCCGGCTACTCGACTGCCCATAGTCTCTCGTTTCTTTCTCGCACGATCTCCTTCATGTCACCCCCAACTCGGATGCCCAACTCGTCACCTCCCATCTGGGTTCCACTCGAGTGTCTGGCCTAACGCGCAATGTACCCAGTCGGCCTTCTCAGTGTATGCCCAATCCATCTTCACTTTCTCCTGCATGTTTGTTGAGCGATAGGTTGTTGTTTGGCTCGTTCCTAGAGCGAGTTCCCTGTTGCTTTTTCTTTCTGGCCATCTGAACCTCAGTAATGAGCCGGTGCAGGCAGTTGTTGATTAATGTCTGTAGCTTGTTGGAAATGCTTTCCGTAACGTGTCAAGCCTCTGAGCCATCATACCGAAGCACTGACTTGACGCTGGCGTTGAAAATCAGGATGTTGTTCACGCTTTAGGCTGAGTGCAGTAGATCTCCACACGTGTTTCAGGTTACTGTACGCTTGTCCTGCTTTTCCGATCCTCACTGGTCACTGGAAAACAACCAGTATTACGTCATCCAGTCCTCATTACTCACCGATTCGATCGACCATTTTCCAGCGTGGCCGGAATGCCTTTCTGATAAGTGCTAAAAAACGTGCGGTCTAAGTCCCTGGCCTTCTGCCGATCGCCTCCAGGCAACAAACATCCAGCAGAAAGTGAGCCATGGTGGTTGGCATCCTAACTTCACGGTCACGTTGTAAATAACGGGTGGAGTTCGGTAGACATTCAAGGTTAAACATCACTAAATTGGCTGTGCCCCAGCAACTAATCAGCTAATCTGACCCAGTCCTACAGGAAGTCCACCAAAGCCAGCGTACGTCAGTGGTAACACCGCTGGCGGCAACACTGGGTGACGCGAGTCACAGATAGGCCATACTGTCGGGTACCGGTTTCAGTTTACTCCGTGAAATTCTGATTCTGGTCATCGAAACTCCCATTTTTCAGACCCGAACCAGGCCACGCCCAAATTAATTGGTTCGTTACGGATGGCAGCTTGATAGAAATCAGTTTCAAAATTTTTCGTTTTTAGATATGATTTTACACGTTCGTAGCACGAAATAAGCTCTGGTTGCGGCATTCCGACTAAATGATCGTGATCATGACTGCAGTCAGCAGGCTATGACTTTTGTCCAGTGTCTTGAAAATGGGATGACACTAATGGTAAGGAGTAACATAACCAATTGGATCATCCTCCTCTGACTAGGAAATTAGGTTTTCGTGGAATAGAGATGTGATTAGCAATCTCAGCAGTGTCATATTCTTTTCGAAAGTGGTTATAAAGACGGAGATATCGTCACTGAAGCGTTTGAGGCTCCCCTTCATCTCTTTAAATGAATTTCGTATGAGTGAACTGTTTTTAAGCTTGGCCGGTTCAGTTGGAACCGACCGTCCTGCAGCAACTTTCACTGCTACACACGACCCCCACAGTTCACCACCACTCAGACACCTCACGTTGTTGGGGGCACCTCTAGGCGCTTTTATAGCAGTGCACGCCGGCCCGGAGGTAAGATGGGGGAGCTATGTTCTCCCCGTTCCTACCCTGATCTGAGGACTATAGTCTTGGCAAAAGCCTGGCCATCACTGGACATCAGTAACATCAGAGCTGGTATAGACAGTATGCATCTGTTCAAGATAGACTGGGAACCCAGTGAGGCAGATGGAGTGGGGGTGCTTATGAGTGACCAACTCGAAAGCGATCGAGCCACTGAAACTCCACTTTGGGGCTCCCGGACTTCATCTTCCGCCACTCTACTGCTAGACACACCAAGTGTATGGTAGGAAAGCCTATAGGACTCTTGCAAGCAACGTGAAACATGACCGACAACTACTACAGTTAATGTCTGGAGCGGTGTTTACGGGATGTGACCAGGTCATTATGACCGGGGATTTCAATGCCCCAACTCTTAGTCTTAGGCAGGATAGGGCAGCCTGAAGCCGGGTTTTCGACCTAAAACTTCTCAACACCATCGGAAAGGCCGGTCTGCACGGGAATATTGACGATGATACTAGCTGGGGGTCGAGTGGAAGACCGTTCAAACTAGACTACCCTCTAGCCAGCGGCCATCTGCCAGCAGAAAACATTCAGGTCCAAACCCACCTCGGCGGCAGCGATCACAGTGTGGCAGCGTTCTACCTGGTATTCAATAAGCGACTATCATGAGGAGGATCTTGCTATTGTCTTTGCTGTGGCTAGGCAAAATACGTGGAGGCGAACCAACACCCACCGACAGAGTTATGGCCCTAAGGGTGGAGTGCCTTGCCGGCTGATCAACACTAGGAACCGGTAAGGGATATCACTGAGGGGGCGATCTCTGGCAACGTCCCAGAAGTCACAACAGTACCGGAGAAGCGAACATCATGGCCGAAACAAGGCAGCGAACGCCTCTTCAAAGCAAAGGGAAGAGCACGGTATAAGTGAAGGAGCCCCAGGAACGTTGGATCAGCGCGTGTATATGGCTCCAAGGAATCGATGTAACATCAGTGTGAGGGGGAACAAGGGGTTGTCTCTAACGAACATCGCACAGTAGCTCGTGGCGCACCCTGAAAACCAACGCAGGTTCATGACAGAGGAAAAGCCCACTAGCCGGGGCCCCTGTATTCTGAAAAGCCTGGATGGAGAGAAGTACTCTGGACTGAGGGTCGCCGAAACCTATAGCGCCACGCTTGATTCACAAGTGAAAATACCGTCATCCAACAGAGGTTGACGATTGCCCGTGATGCCGTCAGGACTACTCATTGCAGTAGAGTTGCGTGGAATAGAAGAGACTCTTGCTATGATCCCCGAAAAGTTGTCGAAGTTCCGCTCAGGGACATCGCCAAGACGCGGAGACATCCGGCCATCTGTATCGGAAATGTGTGCGGGTGCCTTATGCGGTCCACTCCGTAATCTGTTCGAACGTCTCTCAGACAAACACATGCTATTCTGTCTCCCATCTTCAAAGGAGGGGATGGGCAGATCCTGAAGTTCTACCAACCCATGGCACTTCTACCAGGGCTGTCGGAATTACTGGGGAGCCTAGTAGAAGACCACGTTAGGGAGCACCTAGAAAGAAGGAGAGAACGCCAGGTGATGCTAACATGGCTTCAGAAAGGACTGGCTTTGCCCATCAAACCTTCCGGCAGCCGGTGGTAACTGGATGGCCAATTAGGACCTCCCAGTTCCTGGTCATGCAATCTTCCCGAATTTCACCGAAGACCTTGGCACAGTCACATGTACCGTTCTCATTCGCAAAATATCAGGGTCGGGTGTCAAAGGCCAAGTGCTCTCCCGGCTACAGGACCATTTAGACGACGGAGAATTCTGCGCAGAAGTCAGCGCGGTTTGCCCGGCTTGGGGATATCACTCGTTAGTGTGCCACAAGGTGCGATTCTGGGTCCACTGCTATTCTTTCTTTCTATGAACGATTTTCCATTGAATCCCGGTCCCCTGATTCTACTTTACGCTGATGGCGTAAAGTTATGGAGGACTGTGACACCCGAAGCGCAATCAAATGTGCTACAAAGTGATCTCAGAATGCTTGCAGAATGAGTGGATAATGACCGGCTGGCACGTAGTCTGGATAAATGCCGAACCATGTCGCTCAGTAACCCTGACTCCCAGGAAGTGTCCTTACCTCATTATGGAATGAAACTTTCTTACACCGCTGTGGGGAAAGACTCGGGACTGAGACTGACTGGCAAGCCAGACGCGAGGTCCACCTACCTAAGAGGTGTCTTCAGAGCCTACGCAGTGCAGCAGTTCACGAGTAGGCAACCAGGTGCCCTCACCCCGGAGCTCTTCCCGAGACTGCACAAGACCTACGTGCTAACCCCGAAACGCCACTGGGCCATCGTATTTGAAAAAAGGAGTGAGCCTCATGGGGAAAGCCCAGAGGTGAGCAACAAAAGGTGTCGTGAGAACGAGGTAAAAACCCCGTGAGGAGTGGCCGAAAGGCCTAGGGCTTTGCTCTCTTAGTTACTGTAGGTTGCATGGTGACTTGATAACGGTTTATGAAATACTAAGTAATCCGAGTCACCCGAACAATGGGATCCTGCCGAACAGCCACTGTAGCAATCCTCAAGGTAACTTGGGGAGAACTGCCCACCGAAAGGCGAAAACAAGCGTGCCTTCATGTTTCTTCTCCATGTGAATTTGCGGCAACTGGAACGTATTGCATTCTACTGCTGCTGTTCCGCCGGTTAACAACTTCAAGAATAGGTAAGGCAGCTATGCAGCGACTCATGGCTTGATTTGTTCCACCTTGGATACTGACTAGACCGATACAATCTGCCGGCTCCACATAACCCAACACAACCGGCCCTCTACCAAGTCCTTTGTACCGCTACTATCCTCACGAATCTGATTCAACCTTATGCTTCCCAGTAGACGCCTCCTCCAGTTACCAACATATACTAATCGTATTACTATCTTCATTCCCATGACCCATCCTATAATCTTACTTGCTCCTTCTCCTCCTTCTGACTCTATGATCTCACACCACTTATCAAAGTTCTCTCTATCACTTCTCTCGTATGAATTTACCTAGGTTCCCGTTCCCTCCAGTCCCGCTTCCTTTCACCTCGAAGATTTTCCTGCCTTTTCCTCGCGTCTCCTCTCCCCTGCTTTCTATGAACATATCTAACTATTTTTACAAACGGTCCGACCAATTGTCTGGTGGCACGACACTCGAGGAACCCATCTGCATCACACTCTTTTGAAAAATCACACTACCTACAAATTTAATGAACACCTTATCGTCCACTGGGCTAACCAGAGCTACAGAGGTGAGTGGATAGACCTTGTGCATCAGCATCCACCAAAGACCTGGAACCGTTCCTCAAGACCTAGAGGCGAGCGTTAAGAAATTGAAAAGTTCTCACCAGCTGGCAAAAAGACATGTGATATTAGGTTTCTGTGAAGCAAAATTATTCCGAAGTTTTCTCACGCTTTTCATATTTTTACGTTACGAAACTTGGAGTTACTGAGCTTTTAAATTATGGATTAGAATCCACTTTTGTTTGCCGCAAAGTTCGTCCTGAAATAGCTGTAATCGTGACAGCTGTGGAAATGAATGATTCACGTCTTGGACAGTCGTCTAACGCAGTTGTAAAGGGTAATTAAATGAATTCATATTAAAAGCATAGAAACATTAGAAATAACTGCCAATCAATGTATGAATGAAGAATCCAATGAAAAGAATACATATGGATGTTCAGAATACTTGAATAATATCTACTTTGTTCAAGTTGGTTAGACACGTTTTTGATATCTTCTGAAAAATTTCCATTTTAATTTGAAAGACAGTTCATGAAGAAAGCTTTTGTTTCCCAATAGTTAGTTTTTGGCTTCACAGTTAGACCTCACTTGGAATACTGGATTCAGGTGGCTAGCCCTTGCCTAAAAAATTGCTGACGCACTCAAGCGTGTTCAGAGGATAGGTACTAAGCTTGTGGCAGGCCTTTCGAATCTATCCTATGAGGAGCGACTAGAGCAGCTAAACTTATTCCCACTGTCTTACCGTAGGAAACGGGGTGGTCTCATACTGGCCTTTCGTATTCTTAATAAAGACTTCGGTACTGATATGTCCTATCTTTTCACCCCTACTAGGACTGACTACCTCCGAGGGCATCACAAGAAAATTCAAAAACCGCGATCGAACCAACTTTAATATTAATGAGCAACTGGAAGGCTCTCTTTTTTTGTGAGCACAGTATCTATTAGTTGGGCACTGCTAGCATCACTGTTGAGCGCTTCACAATCGTGATTTACAGAAAAGATTTCACCAAGGTATTCAAATAGGCATTCAGCCTTGGACAAATTAGATTCCGTCAGACTATCAGACTTTTTATTCGTCACTGGAGAAGGAATTCTACATTTTCTTTTACTCTTTCTTCTAATGAATGCAAACAGCCTTTTAGGACAGTTTTGATAATGTCCGCGCACCATACATTAGGTCTGGGGGAATCGCTTTCGTAATCAAACTCATACGTCCGGAAACCGAAATCTGACACTACGTGATCACTGTTCGCTAACCGAGGGAACTACCATAGATCTATAACCTTTTCATATTGGTGGGTCAAAACCAAATTTAATAACGTCCGCTTGTGTTCCAAATCGTATCGCGTTGCACAAGTTACACTTTGAACCGAAACAGATTCTAGTACCGTTAAAAGTAGATTATTTACGAAGCAACTGCCTGAGGCTAAGACTTTAAGTTTCGCCCAGTCTATGCGTAGAGCGTTCAGATACCCAACAATCAGGCATCTGTTGCTTCCGACCCAGTTATGTATATGGGTTAACACGAAGTCATTTGAAAAGCGGGATAAGCTACGGTAAATTACCTCAATAGTAAAGAAGCCTCACTTTGACTTCAGCTCACAATTGATCAGTTCGCATGTACTGTATTCGTGGGATTCTAAAGTGACTGATCCTACACAGTTGTCATCACGAACATACAGTTTTACGCCACCACTCTTGAAACCTATAACCCTCTCTGTTCTAACACAGTAAAACCCCGTTAGAAGTGGGCTAAAATCTCAACGCTTTATTAGCCAGGTTTCAGTAATGGCCACTACATCGGGATCTAGTTCATAGACTGAAGCTCTGTCACTTTATTTGTAACATTTTGAAAATTGTTGTAGGTTACATCCAGTGTTGAAAGAGTTCTATGGTCCACTCATACAGGCCTTGGAAGAATTATTTCCCAAGACCACGTAACCTGAAAACCTACAATTTTAAGATTTCCCCCATTTATTCGCCGAGCGATAGCTTCTTCTCTTTTCACCCGGTTATCGAGATACCATTTTTTTCGGATGCAGATGTCAGAATTTAGCAGTTTGGATGCGTTAATCAGGAGTGGATCTTTTTCTTGCTGGCTGCCTCGCATAATCTTTCAAATCTTCCGCTCATCGAGCTTGTCATTCCCCCCCCCTCTAACTTGACTACTTCGGAGATGTGTACTTCTAGAAACGTTTCAATTAGGACATATCTGAAGGCTGATTTGACCAGCTTCAGATCCTGCGTATGACGTGTTGCGGGGTCTTTCTCCACTGACTTACCAACATTCCAGAAGATCACGCTGGAGGTTTATGGGACATCCTTAGATTTCATTTAGTCAGCTTTTGAAGCCTTCACAATGGGTTTCATAACTCTAGTATTTTCAGTGATAACCTTCGGAGGTCTCTTCGAAGTCTTCATTGAAAAATTCCAGTAGGATTTACTGATCGCCTTCGTAGCGCTAACATTGTTAACAGAGACGCAGTCTTTCGGTTGATCTTTGGGGATCATAGTTAGTGTGCCAGTCACCCTCGGTTTACTTTTACGTCGGTTACACGTCAAACCGGTGTACCAACATCGCTTGCTGAATCGGCAGTATGCGATATTAGTCCAGCTTTAGGTTTAATTTTGAACCTGTTTGCAATAACGCTTGCCAGATCATCTGACGCGACATTGAGTTGACAGTAATTGTCACCATACCAGTGGTCTTTTGCCCAATAGCATTTCGACAGCTTCTTGAATTAGAGCTGTCAGAGACTTATAGCAAAAGTCATATAACCAGAGAGAAGCTGGTTTATTTCACCACTTGTGCACGGTTGGTATCAATCAGGTAAAAATTTTGGGGATCCAGCATTCATATGCATCCCATTCTATACCTTTTTCAACCGGGAATTTGCAGTTGGGTCGACCTCAGACACGGTTATCTCTAACCAGTACTCTACAGAGACTACGTTCGTACGTTCATTTTTTACTCTTATGCTATTTTCGCTCTAATGTTGCGATTCGGTTGGAAGGAAAAGAAACTGCAGATGAGGTCTAAAAAGCCATTTCTTAAAATCCTGTATAAAATGATTAAATTTCCACTTTGTCTGCTACACGACAGAAGGTTCACCTCCTGAAGTCATTATTCATGGATCGAACTGGTTATCACACGAGTGGCCGTCTCCTGAACCCTTTTCAGAAGGTTTGAGTCACCTTTCAGACAAGAATTTACTTGTGCGCACACTTTTCTAGTCTAGATCGAACTAAGGATGTGTATAAGGCGGTAAACTATCTTTCTACACTTCGTTTTCTGACCTTGACTTTCCTAGACTTGAGAGCTTTTAATAAAGGTATAAAAACATTTTAAAGTGGACTTATTTGCACTTTACATTTGTGGCCAATTAATGACTGCTTCACTATCCTATTAAACTTTAGAAGACAATGCCTGATGTTTCTCACAGAAGATTTAGTAACGAAATGCAACTAAAAATCAGCAAACTCACAAATTGCCAAGAACTTAGAAGAATGTTTTTGAGAAAATGGATTCTAACGAAATCGTTAGTGCAGAAATACCTAACACCAGGAATATTTGATATTCATGTGTTCACTGCACGTGATATGGAGCAGAACTTGTTAAAACACAAAAATCATATGTGCTAATGACAAAACTCCTATGGAAAAAATTATTAAGGAAGGCAGAATAAATAAATTGAGGGTAATAGAAATATTCAATACTACAAAGATGTTGAAGAGTTTATACGCCTGCATCACTGTAATCAAATTTAGGCCATATCGTTAAAAGTTCAACCCCAGTCATGTGGCCAACATCTTGCTGCACTACTCAAAGCAATAATCAAATCCTTCACCGACTAGTGTCAGTAACAACTACTGATGCAGTATTCATGATCTAAGGTGTAGAAAAAAAATACTTCCCAGTTATAGACCTGGAAATACGGAACCATTTTAAGCATCATATTATCTCAACTCGGGCTATGAGCGACATTATAAAGATGTTGGAACTTTTTATTCAGTCATTAGTAATAAAAGATGGATCAACTAAAAAGCTGAAGGTTTTTCGCGGTGTTATTATGCTTCACATCCTATAAATGAATTTCGAAGCAGTCTTTAGGTATAAGCTTGTAACTCACATGCATGTCAGTAACGATGTAGGTAAACATCTTTGAAAACACTTAACCTCATGATGTCACTAACCTTTATTGGCCTTACTTCACTGTTGTACGGTAAGACAGAGTAAACATGTGTACAGTAAAATTGTCTTTGACAGATAGTATTAGGGATGCCTATATTGCTTATATTCCATATTTACAGTCTGTGTATATTTGAACTGGTTTATTTCGCGCTCTTTTCCCGAGCATGGGTCATATTTCGTATGACCTGCTATTGTTCTGATTGGCTCTAGCCTCTTTAGATGTACCAATTATTCCTTGTCCTTCAAGGTTTCTGTAAACTCTGTGAATGGGGTCCGTTATCACTCATAAACGTTTTCAGCCCGAGATCGTGTAAACTCATATGATTTCCAGTCTTTTGGTTTCTCTTTGCAAATCACTCGGGCTACATCGTCTCGACCCTCGACTACCAATCGTTAAGTATTTCCATTCGTTCTCACAACTCCGCATCATAACAGATAGTTAGATATTTTTCGGGTACCAGGATGATAAAAATCTAGTTCCAAGTCGAATTTCTAAATACGAGCTGAAATGTTGTCAGCAGCTACCCTCCAATAAGTGAAATGATTCATTCAATCAGCCACTTTAGTCATTATCTATAAATTAGGAATTGCGTTAGATCAGTCTTCCAAAATTGTCTTAAGTTTGACGTAGTAAAACTTCTTAGGATATATACTCAGATTTTGTGCATAGTACATAGAAGACCTTGTATTTTATTGATATCTCCATCGTACTGGATTATATCACTTGTGTACTTTAGACAGTAAAATGTATTTAGTGTAAGAGTAACACTTGGTCACTGTGGTAGAGTATAATTACATATTACATTGTTTATTTGAAATGACCAGCCTTCAGTGATACAGCATTATTTACTAGATGATGTTTCGGGCAAAATTCATTGCTCATATTTATATCAAACGTGTTTATACGAACTTCAAACTCCACTTATATAGTCCAGCAGCTCTTCGTTCTTTATTTCAATGGTAGTAAAAATTTCAAGACATTTAGAATATATGATGAGTCAATCCTGTTACATGTGCGTTAGACGCTAAATGGTTTACAGTCATACTCTGCCGAATAACATTCAGAAAAATGTTATTTTCGATTTTCTAAACGCTGTGAGATTATATTAAAACTTACTTAAACAATGATTAAACCTGAATAAGACCTCAACTTCTTTCAGGACATTGGTTATAGTTTGCTTATCAATCTCTCCTTCCATCCATCCAATTAAGTTAATTCCTAATACTGTCGCTTTATCCCACCCCACTGTGTAATTGCGTCCAGAGCAATGGATGAGCTTTCCTTCCAATTTCTTACCTTATTAGAACCTACTAATCTTTATCTAGCTAATTTTTTGTGCTCGGATAGCCTAATTGATCCTAGTCAACTACTTTGACCTATGTAATTAACCCCTCAGTTATTACAAACGATTTGGTATACTAAATTATTTTATATAAACTATGATCAAGGTTTGATCTATGGCAAATATTTGGCGCTTAGTGAAAGGTTGACATTAGATATGGATTGTATTTGTCTAAGTCACAGCGGGTTTGAAATCAAATAATTCCAACGTTTCATACGGAAGTCTGGTCCGAGCTTCTTCAGGGAGATAAGCGAGGTTATTTGTTTAAATGCCACTTCAATACAGTAGCCTTATTGAGAATTCTTCGTAATTCTTCTGATGTACCTTATTTGTATGGTAACATAGGAGAGGCTTTGAATTCTCTCTCAACTCTGTTACCATTATTACTATTGGTAGTAGAATTGTTATCCATAACACCTGTATTACTACTGCTACTGGCTATGTCTTTCTTTCTATTCCTTATAAATTTATTTACAAATTTAGGTGGGTAATTATTGAGACGGAAAGTATTCTTGATGTGTGTAATTTGTTGTTATAGATTTTCTGGCCTACCAGTAATCTCTTTTCCTCCCTATCACAGTGAACATTGAACTAAGCCTACTTTAAGTGAGATGGGATTAGAGGATTCGAAGTCTAAGTAACGATTCGAATGGGAAGGTTTCCCATATACACTAGTCCCTGTTTTCGTTTAATCTTGATAATGGAATCTTTCTTTATCGAATCAACACCAAAAACATCCAGTAGAAATGATTCTGCATCTGCCGTTGACACCACGAGGAAGGAAAAAAATTAGGGCTGTATAAACTCTGTCTCAAAAGTGATGGAGTTACCTAGTATGAATATGGATAATAAATTGTGTCCGAAACGTTATCTAGTAGATGATACTGTTTCACCGTGTGACATTTTTAATTGACAGGCTAAGATGAAATTACAATCTACCACAGTACCTAAAGTTTTTTAGGATTTGTCCTGGTGCGAACTTGACAGACGCAAAGACTAATCACTAATTATTCGAACTTGTTATATACCCACGAATACGAGACCAAGGAAGAACACGATAGCGTAGTCGGATGGAATAGTATATTTGGATGGTTATGCCAAAATACCGATGCGTTCCAACTAACTGGCTAGAGAGTCGAATACGAGCAATGCAACGTAACACGACAGCGTGCCAAATGGCGAGGATGCTTGACCGGATGCCTTCAGCTTAGCGAGTCCAGTTAAACTATCAAGGTCAGCATCAATGTCGAAAGTCGTCAAACCCTAGGCTATTGATTTTGGGGAAGTGTATGACGCTACAGTTTACTCCTACATATGTTAGGTGTTGATTGAATAAACAAAGATTCTAAGATCAATCTCTCCGTTCATCTAGCTTCGTTACCCCATCGCACTCACTCAGGCTATAGTGTAATTATGAATTAGTGCATGCAGAGCGATAACCGAGTTTTCATCTAAATTACCTGTCTTAGTAGGATTTATCATTGCGTGTTTCGCTTAATTTCTGCACTCTGCTATTCCGACTGAACTTGATTACCTGTTTTGACCTATATACTTGACCTCACAATCATTACATGGTGTATTTGATAGATTACAATATATTTCTTAATTGACTCTACTAATCACTTAGCTTACAAAGTTCCTGTATGTGAAGTTTTAGATTTAATTGCCACCCTAGTGTCAGTAGTGTTAACAATCCTACGTAAAATTTCTGATATATGAGCAATATGAACAACAAATTCTGCTCGAATCATTGTCATCTAGTGAATAACACTGTATTACTATGGACTGGCTATTTCAAGTAAACAATCGAATACGGAAAATGTATATGAACCTTTAAAAAGTGTAGGATGAACGGCAGCCAGAGTCACTGTATCCTATAACTGTGTTAATTAAGAACAGTAATAACAAATAATTGTGGTTATATGAGGTAACAACTAAACATAAGCTTTTATTTCAAGTTGTTATTCATCGAAGACTGACATCAGTTGGAGGAACAAAGGAAACCTGGGAGCACTGGACAGCTGTTTCGTCCTAGTCTTCGATGAATAACAACTTGAAATATTTCCAAATCTCCACAACCCCCTCAAAATTTAATAAGCTTTTATGTTGATATACCAGTTCCTAGATTGTTTATTAATATAGTATACTCTTGCTCCTGTCCACTCCAAGCAAAATATTGTGCCGCATCATCCTGGAGAGACTAAAGGATGCGCTGGATTCAAAATTACAACCTGAACAGGCTGGCTGACTGGCTTCAGGAAGAACAAACCATGTGCAGATCAAATTACAACGCTACGCTATGCATCATCATAGAACAGAGCGTAGAATGGCAGTCAACTCTTTACCTCAACATCATCGATTTTGGAAAGGCCTTCGACAGCGTCAACCGACAAGTAATTTAGCAGGCAGCTGCTTTGACACTACGGAATAGCAAAAATCTTTACCAACCTCATTCAACAACTATATGAAGACGCCACATACCAAGTGATCCACAATGGAAAGTTCAGTGATGCCTTTGAAGTGAAGATAGAAGTAAGATAAGGCTGTCTACTATCACCCATGATCTCCCTGATTGTGGTCGACTGGACTGGATCCTACAGCAAACAGTAAGGAGCTGTGAGAAGATGGGCATACGCTGGACCGATGAAAAGACACTAGAAGATTTGCATTTCACCAATGATTTGTGCCTAATATCGCACAAACTCGAAGATCTACAGGCAAATCCAATAAGTTGACGGAAGAGGCAGTGAAGACAGGACTTCAAGTGAATATAGAGAAGACAGAGGTGATGAAGATACCCAACCAACAACATCAACAACAAGCACCATTACCGGAGAAGAAAGTTTTCTCTTTCACCTACACCTAATTAGGCAGCATCGTTTCAACTACAGGCAGCGTCACAGATGAGGACGTCAAAGTCAGCCAGGATCGGAAAGGCAAGACAGGCATTAATTAACCTGAAACCAGTGTGAAGATCTTCTGCACTCAGCATAAAAAACATGATCCGGATTCTCAACACCAATGTCAAGTCAGTGCTTCTGTGTGGTTCAGGAACTTGGCGTATCCCGAAAAGCATTTCCAACAAACTATAGATATTCATCAACAGCTGCCGACTACGCTAAATCGATAGTGAAGATTAGATCAGGAGGCCAGAAAGAATAAGCGACAAGGAACTCACTCTGGCAACGAACCAACCAAGAACCTATCACCCATCAAATATACAGAGGAAGAGAGTTGAGATGGAATGGATTGGGCATGCACTGAGAAGGTTGACTGGAGACATCACGCGCCACGTCAGGCCCTCGAGTGGAATCCAAAGGGGAAATGACGAGTTGGGCGTCCAAGGCGACGGTGATATGGAGGAGATCATGTGAGGAAGAAATGAGAGTTTCTGAGTAGTCGTGGAGCCATGTTCAAAAGACTGTAGAGAAGAGAGTGTAAGGGAGACGTTCTACTGAAGCCCTATGTTTCACTAGGAACCCAAGGGAAAAATAATAATGATAATAATAGTAAATACTTACTAAACAAAATTCAGTGACGAAAATAAAACTCCAATGAAGTTGCATGTGTTTGTATATTTATATGGTGTTGCCTGTATGTAACGATCGGTCCCGGGTTCCAGTCTTAGTAGGAACAATACCGCTCACTGAGAGTTAGGTACATCAAGCTGACGAGCCTTAAATAGAAGGAAACACGCATCTTGAATTCCACTGCTATGTGTTACCAATGTTTATTTATCCACTACAGCTTAGTAGCAATCAAAACAGTAAATATTTAAAACGCTCTCAACATACTATTAGTATTTCAAGCGTAAAATGAACTTTGTATTGACTGTGATTTTAATGCTTTAGTTGTTAATACATTAAGAAGGTATAGTGAGCAACTTATCAATCAATGTTTTGCGATTTCAGGGTTTTAGAAAAAACTTCCGAATCACTTTCACACTCACCTGAAGTATATGGTTGTAACATTATGATATTTCAGGTTGATGCTCATCATAGACTGACATCAGTTGAATAAACACTGAAAACCTGGGAATGCTAGACAGCTACGTTTCGATCTAGTATGGGGCTCCTCAGCAGTGCTCACCCATGACCCCGTCATGGATCGAACCCTTGGCCTTTAGATTTTTCAGCCACCACATTGGCATTGAGCCACTAAGTAGGAATTTAATGGTCCATATTTCCTACTTCTTTCGTTTCTCGATATAGTGCAACCTCAAGTTAATACCATCGTTGAGTAACTGGCCCTCTGTTGAACTAGGTTGGCCCCACTGGTCACTACTTCTCATTGAAACTTCTGTAACCACCTCTTGAAGCTAGTTACTATTGAGCACTAGCTGGTATCAGTTTTAAAGTTTGTGGGATTTATTTACTGACTTCGGGTAGGTATTCATCATGAACTGACATCAGTTGGAGGAACACTAGAAACCTGGGGGCACTAGACAGCTATTTGGTCCTAGTACGGGACCCCTCAGCAATTTGCACCATGGCCCCGTCATGGACCGAACTCTAGGACTTTAGTTTTCACGGTCACCTAGTTGATATTCAGTCAATGGGTCGGAATCATACTTTTAGAAATAATTTCCTGTAAAAATTTGAATGTACTTTGTGTTTATTAACATTCAATAGTTCAATTTAATTTTTGGTAATTAATGCTAAGTTACAACACTATTCTTGATTCAATTCGTTTTTCTTTTAATACTCATTTTTCAATTTTAGAAAATACAGGCTATGGCACATAGAGCTGAAGAAGTTGCTCGTCATTTATGGATGAGTGGTTGGGAGGTTGTAAATTTTCAACGACTACCTGCATGGCTTAAAGATAATGATATGCTGTTACATGGTCATCGACCTGAATTAAATAATGTATGGGCTTGTGTAAAATCAGTTTTTCGTATTCATACTGAAACTGGTAACATATGGACACATCTTTTAGGTTTGTCTAGTTAATATATTGAAGTATAATTTTCAATTTATTTGTAGGTTGTTTCAGCTTTACCATTATATTTTTATTTATGTTATGTCAACGGAGCAGTTTATTACAATGGCAAGATAAATTTGTCTTTTCAATATTCTTTCTTGGAGCAGTTTGCTGTCTTGGATTCTCATGTGTTTTTCATACAATATCCTGTCATTCTGAATATGTTGCACGAATCATGAACAAGTAATGCAGGTGAAATATACATTTATACGTTTGTTTTTTAAGAAAATAAACGTCACAGAAATGCATATAATATGATTGATGGTTGATATGTTTTCCCTACTAGATTGTTTATTTGATATGACCACAGTGATCTAGCATTATTTGCTAAATGATAGAATTTCGATCATTACAAGTTACGTTGTACCACAGTACCTACGTTAATGTGTCTGTATAGTTCAACAAATTGATACAGTCTCAAGTGATTATATCAATAACAAGATATTCAGAGAAGAAACTCTTTTCAATGAATTCATTTTCAAGCTGTACATTCGTATATATATGATATTTAAAAGATGATAAACCGTGTGGAAAACCAAACACTATATGATGATGATGATGACAATGATAATAAAAAGGAAGGTGAAGTAGATATGGTAATAGTTGAAGTATGAATGATAACAAAGTAGATTACGTAATGTATGGAATGATCCATAGAAGGTATATAACCGAGAAAGGGGTGAAAAAAACGATGGAAGTAGTCAATTAACTAAGTATTATGTAATATATTTTTGAGATGAATGGGGATTTTGACTTAGAAGTAATATTCATCATGGACTGATATCAGTTGGGGAACCACTGAAAATCGGGGAGCACTGGACAGCTGTTTCGTCCTAGTATGGGACTCCTCAGCAGTACGCACCCACGACCCGGCTAGGGTCCTATTACATAATCCTATTTGGTAGAACTTCTAGGTGTAGTAGTTTAAGGCTAACAGCTGACTGTAAAACTGTGGACATCTTAATAAGAAATTCTACTGGATCATGTATGAATGCCACCGAAAATCCTAGGTATCAGATGAAGCAACAGTCTAATAACCTCTATCATTTATCTCTAATAGGAATCAGCTTATATTTTTGACCGTTATCAACATAGTGAATATGTTATAACGCATATTCTGCAGTTTAATAATGGATCGTGGCTAGCAGTGGAATCTAGGATGCGCATTTCGTCCTATTTAGGACTCGTCAGCTGGATGTACCTGCTTCGCAGTGAGCGATGTTGTCCTCACCGGGATTCAGACTCAGGGGCGATAGCTTCAAGCGTCAAAGCGTAATCCACTACACCACCGAGCCACGCTAGCCACTTCTTGTACGACGGGTATAGTTTTTAGTACAATTGTTTTTATATGCGGATAGTGGATAACGCGCTGGCGTTTGAAACGATCGCCTCCGAGTCCGAATCCCGGTGAGAACAACATCACTCACTGCGAAGCAGGAACATCCAGCTGACGAGTCCCAAAGGGGACGTAATATGCATCCTGGATTCCACTGCTAGCCACGATCCATCATTAACATAATTAGAACGCAGGCAGTATCGAGGCATCGCACAGGAGCCTATATGCTAATAGAGACCGATCAATTCGGTCCAATCAACGACGGTATCATGTAAAAACAATTATACTATACTATTCTGCAGTTTGTTCATTGTCTACCTGGGCTTTTTCCATGCAGTTCAGAAAATGTATCTACACTATTGACTGTTGGTTATACTAAAAATATTTTTGTCAGAATCACCGTGAACCAACATCAGTTGGAGAACCGTTGAAAACCTGGAAACAATGGATGCCTGTTTCGTCCCAGTATGGGAATCCTCAGAGGTACGCACCCATTATATATTCCTCATCAGTGACATGCTTCTAGATGGATGTCCCAAATTTCTAATGAGAAGCCGTAATCTGTGAGGTTAACCATTTGGAAGTGAAACGAATGTCAACTAAAGACCTTTCATAAAAGTCACACTATATCATAAGTTGATAAAACAAGTAGGCTGTGAACCACTGGACTCCAATCTAGTAGTTGAGTAGCCAACGCGTTCACCATGAAACCTGAAAGTCCTGGGTTTGATCCCTGACGGGGGTCTTGTGTGCGTACTGCTGAGGAGTCCCATGCTAGAATGAATTGGTTGTTCATTGCTTCCAGGTTCCCAGTGTTTTTCCGACTGATCTCAGTCGTTTGTTGTCACCACTATTATTATTACTATTGTTATTATTATTATTAAGGCTTGGTGGCAGACATACTTGCGATCGGGTAAAAGGTATTGCTTGGAATTACTTATTGATATGTTGTTTGGAGAGATTTTCACTATCCAAAGCAAAATACTACTTATTTGGAAACAGCATGATTTGATATCATTAGAACAGGTGACTGTTTCAAGGAGACAGAGGTTAGAAAATGTGTGTAGATATATAAAGATTTATTCATCCATCACGAGTTCGAGTAAAATAATTTAATCCAGTAAAATGACGGAGAATTACAAGTATATCAATAAGTAGTAATAGATGATTTTGCCATGTTCCGATAAAGTTCTGATGAAATATTGATTTGGGGTGGTAAGTTATTAATATTAATCTTCGGAGGTAGTATCCATCATGGACTGAAAATATAGGGCACTGCACACCTGTTTCGTCCTAGTATATGACTCTTCAGCAGTACGCACCCACAACCCAGCTAAGGATCGAACTCAAGACCTTCGGGTTTCACGGCGAACGCGTTAACTATTCACCCACTGAGTCAGTTTTCAGTGGTCAACAGTTTCTAACTTCTGTCAATTCACGATATAGCGCGACTATCAACCTTCCGACTAGTTGATAATAATATTACGAGATTGCGTATAAAGTATCTACAAGACGAAAAATAACAGCTTTAAAGATAATGGTAATGGAAGATGTATTGTCCTCCCCCGCCCCCCCTCCCTAACAAATATACATTCATGTTCTCTTGGAAATGATTTGATTCTGAGCAGTAGTATTTAAAAAAAAATTGATCAAAGTCAATAATCTTCTAAGTTTCTACTGATAGTATGCTTCAACATAATTGCAGATGCTATAACTACCGAATATTTTTTGGGGCTTAAACAACCGACCTATTTTTTAGCAAACTATACTCTCACTTTAAAGCGTACTAGTTATCCAGTTAGATCGGGATACTCCGTACAATTTTTACCATATAGTCATTATAAGAGGAATCTTATTGACTAGATGAGATTGACGCTTTTAGAATAAATTTGCTCATAAAACTCATATATCTATTTCCTTCAAGTATCAACTGTTACCAAGTGTTAATAGTTATGCATTATGAAAAGAAATGTCAGTATTCATCAACTGTAGTATATGATTATATCTATTTTCTTTATAGGCTTGATTATGCTGGAATAGCTTTTCTTACAGTTGGTTCATTTGTACCCTATTTATACTATACATTCTACTGTATATTTTGGGCTAAAGCATTTTATTTAATATTGATTGGAGTATTGGGAATTTCTGCAGTTATTATCTCAATGTCAACAAAGTTTGCTACTCCACCATTTCGACCATTAAGAGCTGGAGTTTTTATAGCTCTTGGTCTTTCAGGTGTTATTCCATGCATACATGCTATCATTATCAATGGATTTTGGCAATCTGTTAATTATGGTTCACTTGGTTGGTTGTCTCTTATGGCTGTACTTTATATTTCTGGAGCAGCTATCTATGCTGCAAGAATACCGGAAAGATGGTTTCGTGGACGTTTTGATTTATGGGTTGGTGTTAATTTTCATTATATCTTTTAAAATAAATAAATTTTTATCGTTTATTTGACGACAATTACTCAACGTGTTCAAATGTATACTTTGTATTATCCATATAGTCATAGATCTTAGCTATAATTATGTTAAGTATTAGTGGAATTCTATATCATATAGACATTATGCCAAATACTATGCAAAGCTCTAACTCATCGATTTAGGCAGTTAACTTTCAACTAGTGTGTCGTGAGTTCGAACTCTGTTTCAGTCTACTAAGATGTAGGAAGTTGGGTAGTATTACTAGCCTTCTTTCATCAGGTGTAACTGACTGCCTTCTACACGTAGACACATTTGACGGTTAAGCGCATTTCGATTTCTATTTACTAAAGGTATACTATACGGCAGTTTTCAACTTCTACTGTAAGATGTGCATCGATTAATCCAAATAACGATTATTTTCACGGCATAAATTACTAGTGGGAGCTTAAAGTGAGTGTGGTTGTTCAGATGTACATAAATTAATCTATGCGTTCAATATTCATGCCTCTTCAAAGTGTTACAAAGCCAGTCGAATTCATTTCATTCATGTATAAAAGTTTCTACCTAAAATTACTAGGTATCATTGACTCACTTAGTTCATGCTACGGTTTATCGTGAAATACTTGTTCAAACATGCTATCCACACATTAAAAGAGATCGTTAGCATTGATCAATAAAACGCTTGAACTGCTCATGGTAGTTAAGCAAAGGCGTGTTAGTAAATGGACTGAGTTCTTATTTGTTGAATTTTTTTTGGTATAACTTTGTAATAACCATTTTTAGCAACAAGTTGGAACTATGCTTCATATCAAATAAACTTTGAATCCTTTTTGGTAGGTGTTAGTTGGATGAAGGGAATCGGCAGAAAGTCTTGCTCTACTTCGGTTTCATGCTAGTTGACATTTGTCAATGAGGCGTATCTGCAACCTCTATGTGAAGGATGTCTTGCTTGAAATTCGAATCTTGCGTTATCCGATACCGTTGTCAGCGAAGTTATCACGGAGCTATTCACGCTGAAATTGACCAATCAGCACTTAAGATTAGACAAAGTGGAGCTGGTTGCCCACCAATGATCAATCAACTTACCTACAAGAGGTTAATTGCGGCCCGAATAGCTCCGTGGTAACGTCGCTGACTGAGGCACTGTGTAACTTGGGTTCGGAGCTAACATGTTAAGGTATAAGGAAGTAAACTCTAACGTAAAAATAATAATGATCAGTCATTAATAATAAGATGAATATTGAAGCAATAAAGATAACGAAGAAAGGATAATGACCACGTACCTTTTCTGTATGCAGAGCTTAGACTTTAATTGTTCCATTGTCAACGCTTCTGTTATACACAAGTGACGAACACGTACTCCTTTCGAGCCGTTTCGCTTAACTTTATGTAGGATTTTGAAAGAGGAAAATGGAAAAACGACACGGCCAGAGTTGACTAAATTGCTCAAGATGAAACTGTTGCTTCACTTGCATTCTTTTCTGGACAGACAAGCAAGAAAGTACTCAGAAATGCGTTTGAAAACATTGCGCTTTGTGTGACATACATAGTCAGCTGTATAAAATCAGGTAAACTAATAAACACACATGATGTAGCCCGAAGCGGACAGTTTGTCCTTCGCATCTTCTTGAATCAGCTGTCGATTGGAGAAAGCTATTTGCAGTTCGGTGGCATAGAATGTTTTGGATGCGTTCTCCGTTTTAAACTCAGTACTCATTAATAAAATCATCTTAGGAACAGTAAGAACTTGTTCTTATTGTTGTTTTTATTATTTTATTATTAGTCCCTTGGGTTCCTAGTGGAACATAGGGCTTCAGTAGCACGTCTCCAGTGACCTCTGTTCTCTGAGATCTTTTGAACCTGGTCCCATGACAGCCCACAACCTCTCATTTCCTCCTCGCACGACCTCCTCCATGTCACCCTCGGACGTCCAACTCGTCGCTTCCCATGGGGATTCCACTCGAGCAACTGGCCTGACGCGTGATGTCCTCAGTCGGCCTTCTCAGTGCATGGCCAATCCATCTCCACTTCTTCCTGCATATTTGTTGCGTGATAGGTTCTTGGTTGGTTCGTTCCCAGAGTTCCTTGTTGCTTATTTTTTCTGGCCATCTGATCTTCAGCAGCGAGCGTAAGCAGTTGTTGATGAATGTCTGTAGTTTATTGGAAATGCCTTTCGTGACGCGCCAAGTCTCTGAGCCATACAAGAGCACTGACTTGACGTTGGTGTTGAAAATCCGTATCTTGTTCCGCATGCTGAGTGCAGAAGATCTCCACACTGGTTTCAGGCTAATGAACGCCTGTCTTGCTTTTCCGATTCTGACTTTGACGTCCTCGTCCGTCCGCCTGTAGTTGAAACAGTGCTTCCTAGATAAGTGAAGGAGGTTACTTCCTTCAAGTTTCTCCCGTTGACGGTGATTGGAGTTTGTAGTTGTTGTTGTTGGTGTTGGTGCGGTATCTTCATCACTTCTGTCTTCTCTATATTCACCTGAAGTCCCGTCTTAGCTGCCTCTTCTATCAACTTGTTAGTTTTTGCCTGCAGATCTTCAAGTTTGTGTGACATTAGGCACAAGTCATCGGCGAAATCCAAGTCTTCTAGGTTCTTTTCCGTCGTCCAGTGTATCCCCCTCTTCTCGCTGCCCACTGTTTGCTGCATGATCCAGTCCACCACAATAAGGAATATCATGGGGGATAGTAGGCAACCTTGTTTCACTCCTGTCTTCACTTCAAAGGCATCACTGAGCTTCCCATTGTGGATTACTTGGCATGTGGCATCTTCATATAGTTGTTGAATGAGGCGGAGAAAGGTTTGCGGCACTCCGTAGTATTGAAGCAGTTTCCAAATTACTTCTCGGTCGACGCTGTCAAAGGCCTTCTCAAAGTCGATGAAGTTGAGGTAGAGAGCTGATTGCCATTCTATGCTCTGTTCTATGATGATGCGTGGAGTGGCGTAGCAATTTGGTCCTCACATGATTTGTACTTCCTGAAGCCTGCTTGTTCCGGTCGCAGTTTTGAATCCAGTGCATCTTTAAGCCTCTCCAGGATGATGCGGCTTAATATTCTACTTGGGGTGGACAGGAGAGTGATTCCACACCAGTTCTTGCAAACACTGAGGTCTCCTTTCTTCGGCAGTTTGACAAGGTAACCCTTCTTCCAGTCAACCAGCAGGTACCTTCTCTTCCTTCCACACCTTCTGCAATAGTGGTGTGAGCATGTCCGCTGTTGTCTCTGCATCTGTTCTCAGTGCTTCTGGCGGGATTCCATCTGGTCCTGCTGCTTTCCCGCATTTCAGTAGCTTTATGGCGTTCAGGACTTCCATTTTCGTTGGAGGATTAATGTTCACTTGTAATTCAGCGGCTGCAGGTGGTATTTCTGGACGAAGTGCAGGTGGTGGTGGTGGTCGATTCAAGAGCTTCTTGAAGTGGTCGGCCCATCGTTTCCTCTGTTTCTCTTCTTTTGTAATTAAATTTCCTTCTTCATCTTTTATTGGTTTCATCTGTGTTGGTCTCTTCCCTGATAGCAACCTGGTTATTTGATACAATGTCGTCAGGTCTCTCTTACCTGCAGCCTGTTCTGCTTCACTTGCCAGTGTTTCGTAGAAGTGTCTTTTGTCTTTGCGTGCACTCTTCTTCACTTCTTTGTCCAGTATTTTATACATTGTGCTCAGTTCCTCTTGTCGTTGAGCATCCTTGCACTGGTTTATCTTCTGCTTCACCATCCTCCTCTCCTCTATCAGCTTCCAGGTATCCGTCGAGATCCATTCCTTGTCTTCTTTCTTCTTCCTTCCTAATACTGTTGTGCAGGTTTCTTTCCACATAGCTTTCAAAGACTTCCAGTGTTCTTCCACACAGGTTTCTTCAGGAATGTTCCTCGATATCTCCCATTTTGTCTTGATGGCTGCTTTGAAGATCTCCTTTGTAGTTTCATCCTTCAGTTTCCGAGTGTTGTACTTGAATTGAGGTCTATCACCAGCTTCCTTGAAGGCTTTTAACTTGATTTCGAAGGTTCCTTGCACTAGATAGTGGTCTGAACCTACATCTGCTCCTCTTCTTGACCTTGTGTTAAGTAGACTGCGTCTCCATTTTCTTGAGATTGAGATAAAGTCGATTTGATTTTTAGTGTGTCCATCTGGTGAATCAAATCCATGTCGCTTTGTGGATATCTTTGTGCTCGAACACACTGCCTCCAATCACCAAATCGTTGAATGCGCAGAATTCTGCAAACAATTCTCCATTCTCATTCATTTCACCGAGCGCCTCTCGACCCATGGTTAGTTCTCTTCCCGTGTTGTCCCCTCCCAGTTTGGCATTCATGTCGCCCATTAGAATTTTGATATCGCCAACTGAGGTCTTGTCAAGTGTTGATTGCAGTTGTCTGTAGAAATCCTCCTTTTTCTCTTGCTCTGCATTATTTGTAGGTGCATAACATTGTATGATTGTGGCCTTTCTTCCTTTTGAGTTGAATCTTGCTGTCATGATCCTGGAGGAGATTGGTTCCCACTGCACGAGAGAGCCTTCGATGCTCTTGAGGAAATCATGATAGCCACTCCATAACTCGGTGTGCTCGTGGTTGTCGTCTGGGTGACCGGAGTAGATTATTGATTCTCCAGTTGACAGTTTGGAGAGTCCACTCCCATTCCATCTGCTTTCGCAAATCCCAAGCACTTCGATGTGATACCTTCTCATCTCCTTTGCAATCTGGGCTGCCTTACTGGGTTCAAACATCGTGCGGACATTCCATGTCCCCACGTTTACTTTTGCTTTCATCGAGAGAAGACACATCGGCCAATTGGCTTCCCGAAGGCTTTCACCAACTGGCGTCATTTCGCCTCTCCGATTCCAGCGGGGTGTAAGTTTGTTTTCATTTTTTATATTTTGTTCGTGCTTTGAAGTTTCTTTAGCGGTTAGATTTGTTTTACGGGGTAGGGTTGCTAGCCCTGTGCCCAACCTTCCCTGTTTATCCGGGCTTAGGACCGGCTA